GAGCAAGAGAGCGCCTTTCTTCTCAAAAAGACTTTTGGGAAGTGCTTGTGCCAATCCAAACTGTCAAGCCACAAGGTTTGGTTGGTAAGATACCAATGCAACCTGCGACTTCGGCATGTTCAGTCAAGAGAGATTAACCTTGGGGTTAAAAAGGCCTCCCACCGTTGTGTCTCTGGTTCTTGGGCCTTTGTTGGTGCAGGAAAAGGCCCGGTGAACCACTCTGGCACGTACTTCCTTGCTGCGAAGGGAGCCATGTTCGACGTAAAATCATGATGCTTCGCTTGCATCATGACATAGCTGAGGAAAGTAGGCCTTAGTGATGATCCTTCTTCGTTGGGAGTGAGCCTCACCAAGCGAGTTCCTTCGACTCTCCGATTCTTGATTTCTTCCTCTTCTTTGTCCATAGGGCCCTTGTTGAGAAGACTAGCTTCGAAGGAAGAATTCATCCACAGTTGAAGTAACCAAAAAGGGCCTGACAACAGTAGGTTACCTTTTGCACCTAGATCTTTCAGCTGGGTCACCCCTTCACTCAAGGACTCATACAGGTTTCCTAAGATCATTTCACTTAAGCAAATATCATGCCCTCGATGAAATTGGGTGGCTAGGGTCAGAAATTTCCTAGCTACTCGAAGGGACTTGGAACAGAAAACACAGTGAGACAGCCAAACTGTAAGGAAAGCTATGTGTTCGACATCAGAAACTCCATTGGTGGATTTGTCGAAGAAATGGGAAATTAATTGGGAGTATGTGGGTTTAACTGATGAAAAGCTTATCGAATCATCTGACTCAAGGTCAGGATCGTATATGGTGCAAGTTGGTTTTAGCCCTGTGAGACAGCCAAACTGTAAGGAGAGCTATGTGTTCGACATCAGAAACTCGATTGGTAGATTTATCAAAGAAATGGGAAATTAATTGGGAGTATGTGGGTTTAACTGATGAAAAGCTTATCAAATCATCTGACTCAAGGTCAGGATCGTATGTGGTGCAAGTTGGTTTTAGCCCTGTGATAGCGGCTATATCGAACAATGTTGGACTCGTCATCCCACAAGGGAGATGGAAAGTGTTGTAAGTGATATCCCAGAAATAAAGGGAGGACACTAACATGGTCGAACAGTAGTTCAAACCAGTTTTCGACAACATGACGAGGTCATAGATCCCCATTTGTTTCCAAAGGTGGGACTTAACCTTTTCCACCTTGTTCAGCCAGTTCATGTATTCATTGGACTCCTTGAAGGAGGGTGTAGCGCGGAAAACCCTAAAGTTGGTACCCATATACCTTAAATTTATCCCACTAAGGGATACAGTGTCCCCAGTGATGTTTTCTACTTGTTGTTTATTAGCCTGGCTTATGGGTTTGGACCTACGATAAGACAGAAAGAAATCTCTAATGGTTTCAGAATCTACAGAAGGAAGAGGTCCACATAAGGCATGCCTTTTTCCAGCAATGGTGAAAGGAATCAATACCTGAGAGGAATAGATCCTGCGTTTTCCTCCTACAATGGCTCAGGTGAAAACTGTTGATTTCCTATCATCTTTGGCCCAGCCAGCACTTCAAAAGAGGAGAGCTGAGAAGTTTTCTTCAAGTCCTTCTTCTGATTTTTCTTATGATCCTTGGTCATGGTGGAAGAAGACATTGTCAAGTTTAAGGTGATAGGAAGGAAAGGAAAATTTGGGTTTTCTTTGCAAGAGAATGACAAAGGAAAAGATTGGAAAGTGTAAAAGTGATTATGGGTAGGTGATGCCACTTATAGGAGAAAGTAAAAAAATATGGAAATGGAAAATACTAGTGGGCGATTAGCATGGCTGTAGTGGAACACGTGTTGTATCGGGGAAAGATTTGAGGAAACATGAACAGTTGAGTCTAAAATCCACATTTTCTTAGGCCATGATTTCCTAAAACCTAGAAGCATGATCACGGGTAATGGCATGCGTGAAGTAGACGTGTTGAAGTTGTTGTAATAAATGCTAATTATGTCATTAAGTATGGGGAATAGTAGGATGTAACTTCAAAAGACATGCAAAAGTCGTGAGAGGCGTCGGAGCGGAGTATCAAAAAATGTCATTTTCTCTAAATGTCGAAAGTGACATTTTTGAGGGACAATTTGTTAGCCTTGAATTTCGACGCCCAGGTGGAAACGTTGGATTGTTAAGTTAAAGATAGTATTTTCGATTATGGGAATATTGCGGGAATTTCGACCAGAAGATGGACAACTCGACAGGAAAGAATCTTTTGGAGTTTGAATTCGAATCTTGGAGGGAAATACAGTTATTTTTTGCCCAATAGAATGAGGCACATGGCATGGTTTCAAGCAATTAAAGCATGCAGAGTGACATTTGGTTTGATCTAGTCCATTGAGTCATTAAGAGCAGTTATGTCGATTGGCTATAAATAGTGGCTTAATTTAGGACTTTGGATGTGTTCATTTTGTACAAGTCACTCAGAAAATTACTCAAAGTACCCAAGTCAAAGTGAGAAAAGAGTCATAACTGAGAATGTACGTGTTGGAACACCATTTCTTTATTGTAATGCATTAATGCTTCTTTTTCTTTTATGAGAATCTCTCTTTACTTTACTGCTTTTATGCATGTTATAGTTCCTGATCTTTATTTTTCTTTTGGAATTGCTATCCTCTTCGAACCAAGTTGATTTCCTTTTCTACTTGTTTTATTTCCAAAATCTGGTTATCGTGTTTCAATATTGTCGAAGTGATTATCCTTCTCCTTTAAATTTCATTTAATGTTAAACTCAGATTAGCTATGTCCTAGGATTTAGTGTGGTCGATCCTGCAAGTTAAAACGAGTCTTGATGATTTGTTAGACCAACGGTTGTTCTCCAAATTTCACGGCAAACAAGGACGCACTTGAGAGAAGATGAATTACTAGCTTGTGGTGGTGCATAATTTGAAGATCACTCTCTAAGTGATATCTGGCGTAGACTCTGAAGTTGAAGGCCTCAGCATCAGAAGAAGCAACATATTGATTCTACACTTAGAGAATGAATTAGCAATATAGCTAAAGCTACCCGTACTCCAGAAAGCAAGTTGCATTATCAAATCTGTTTGTCAGCTAGAGTCTAAATTCATAAGGCTCAAGAAGAGTTGACATGTTTTATGAATATCTATTCTCAATGGCTCTATAGTACAATATTTCATGGAAGACGCAATGGTTAAACATGTTACACAATAGATCAAGATCTTTTGGTGTATCTATCTTCAACGTCTCTTGTACTATGGAGAAACAAAGACACTTGTTCAAGTTATCTCTTCCAACGGATAGTCTTCTACAACTGCTATATAAGTAGCTGAAGATTCAATCTTAATATTTAACAAGGAAAAAGGAAAAAAGAGAAGGAAAGTCGAGAAGGATATAAGTGTTCTACACTTCTATCTAGATAGAGAAATAACAAGATCAACAATAAGAAACATAATCGAGTATGCAGAATTTATGTTATATGTTGTAAATTGTATAAAGCCTTGGAATTTCTTAAACATTGAATATGTTAGAAATCTTAAGTGCTTTAGGTCTTTGTTATGGTGATTACCTTGTACCTCTGATTTTGTATCAAGTACACATTGTTTTATGTTCAGCTAAACAAGTTGTTTAGTAGTTTAGATAAAGTCTTTTGCTATGTGCTTAAGCATCAAAGTCTCTTGCTGAGAAGTTTGAGCCAAGTAAGTCTCCTGCTATGAGCTAGAGCATTGAAGGTCTTGATCAGTTGATTAAGCAAGAAAGTATTGGGTTGTGAGTCTAAGTAGAAGTCTTGGGTTCGTGGAACCTGAGTAAGGAAGTCTTGACTTCATGGAACTTAAGCAAGGAACTCTTGGGCTCGATGGGCTTAAGCAGAAGTCGGGTTCGTGGAACCTGAGCAGGAAGTCTTAGGGCTGAGGGGCTTGAGTAAGGAAGTCTTGGATTCGTGGAATCTAAGCAGAAGTCTTAGACTTGAGGGGTTTAAGCAGGAAGTCTCGGGCTGAGGGTCTGAGCAATGAAAAGTCTTATGCTTAAGTGCATAAGCGATTGTAATCATGTTTTGATTATTATGAAAATCTCTTGTGCTCCAAGGGGACTGGACTACTCTCATTTGAAAGATACCAATATAAATCTTTGAGTGTTCTTTATCTTTTATTTGCTTCTATTAACATTATGTTGCAACCTATAATCAGAATCTAAACATCAGTTTAAATTCTGAACTCTGATAAGAGAAAAAGTTAAGAAACGAAAAACAAAAATCTAAGATTCGTTTTTCCCCCTATGGCACACCAGTATAGATTCTAAAGAAGCCAATTCATATTGCCACTAACTCAATCTTTCATGAGCACATGGACTGCAACATTGTTCGTGACAAAATATGAGACAACAACATGCACCTTATGTCTATTGACTCCCCCGACCAAATTGCTCACATTTTCACCAAGTCTTTTCATGTATGACCTTTCGACAATCTAGTTAACAAATTCGATTTGATTAACATCCATCCCAATTCAATTTGATTAACAACCATCCCAATTTAAGGGATCGTAACAAACTACAAGTATTTTGTATTTATAGCCTTTTAATTTTTTCTGTTAGAGATTAATAAAATTAATTATAAGTTAGTTAGAGTTTAGTGAAGTTTGTTAGAACATTGGACAAGTTATGAATCATGAAATCTATTATCACATGTAATGTAACTATGTCCATAACAGATTTCAACAGGTTATTCTAGATACCACTCAAAGAAAATGTTATTATACTAGATGGTGATGAGTTTATTAATGGAACAATTACATATACAGCAATTATCACAATTACAATGATCTGCATAAGAGAAAGAAAACAGAAAAAATAATAGAAACAAAACAGAAAATAATTTTCTGCATTCCAACACATCATCTGCTGTGAACAACAGAACTTTTCATTATCACTTTTTTATCAGTTGGAGAAACATGATGGAATTTGTAACCAACAATGCAGCAGGGTGATACATGTCGCACGATCGGCAATAAACTCTTTGTACAAACACTTCACTTTTTCCCCGTAGGTGCATTTCGCTTGGCTTCCAGTGTCGTCCCTTCTGAAAGTGCAACTTGAGATTCGTTTGCCATTCCGAGTCCGGCCAAAGAAACAGATTGAAGATAAGAAGCAATGTGCCATAGAGGGGAAATTACTTGTGCTTGCATCGCGTCGTTCATAGCTTCCTGAGGTTGGTTGTTAATGAGATAACACAGGCTGCGTCGTGCATGGACAGTTGGAGAAACCATTGTTCCAACATCAATGAACTATATGTGAAACAGTAAACTTCATTAAATAAATGAACTAAAAAGAACCAAATCAAATGTCAAATATAGCATGCAAATTTTTTCATTAGTCCAATGCGAAAAGAACTCTACCTGAGTGTAGCACTCTATTGCAAGTTTGAAGTCTTTGTGCCGGAAAGCGGCATCTCCTTTTTGCTTACTAGTTAGTGAGTCCTGCATTTGATCTGTCCACATTTGGAAAGATAACTGCGATTTCACGAGGTAATGCTCATGTTAGCATCGAAAATAACAAAGGGTGCAATATATCATTTCACAGTTTCGTGAGAGATAAGATATTGCACCTTAAACTATTGAAGAAATAAATTAAAAAGGAATACAGCAATGGATTAAAACCTCATTTGCCACGCCTTCGTCGTCTTTATAGCCAATACTTTCGAGAACTTCGTGTATGGCAGTCAAGTCCTTTCTTGAACATGCGTCGCCAAGAGGGGTCAGCGAAGCAACAATAGTAGCACTATGTTGGATACCCATTAACGAATGGGAAGGAACCTAGAAACAAATTTTTGTAAGACAATAATCAGCGGTGGAAATTCCAAGCATGATTAGTCGTGTTCTATTGTCGTGAATGTCATTCATGCGTGCACCAAGATATGCAAGTAGGAATATAGAAAATACGCTACTATGACTATCGCATAATAGTAGTAGTAGTAGTAGACGGCCACACCTCAGTTTCTTTTTGAAGAGGAGCCAAAGCAGTTACTAACGACTTTGTATTAGGTCGCTCTCTAGGTTCGTACTGTAAACATCGAGAAGCCAGGCGCACCAACTCAGTTCCATCATCATCGGAAAATTGTCCTTCCAGACAAGAATCTGTTAGCATCTGAAGATTTCTGTCGCGAATCAAATCAAGGGCCTGCTCCAAATGAACATGAAGTCAAATTTAAGCTATCTTCAACTTTGGAATCGGTAAATATTTATATTATTTCGAATTAAGTAATCATCAATATAGGTTTACAATATTTATATTTTCTCTAAAATATGACTTACATGACTTGGAGGGATATGTTTCCCGCTAAGAAGGTCAAGCAAAAGAGTGCCGAAGCTATATATTACACTTTCTGGTGTTACTCTCCCTACAGAACAAAGAAAAATCTTATGTTAGAATAGCAACCCTTATTCGAAAGTAAACAAATATGAAAAATGTGAAAAAGTGAACACAGTATAAAACCATAACAGTAAAGAAATATGACACACCAGTTCTGAGATACTCCGGAGGGGTAAATGCCAAATTTGTGCTATAACTTTTTCCATCCCTACTATTCTTCATAAGGCCAAAACTCGAAAGCCTAGGATTACCATCCTGTAAATTTTAACATATCAATTATATTAATCGAAATATGATTAAAGTATAAGAAAGGGGAGTACAAAACTTACTTCATCAAATAGAACTCTATATGCATTAAGGTCGTGATAGAGGGCACGTCCATTGCTTGTGCAGTATTCTAGAGCTTCTGCAAGATGCAGAACAACTCTGAGTCGCATTGCCCATTTCATCGGTTGTGCGTCCCCTGATACAGTCATACATACAACGTCAACAATACAATCACGATAATGTGAATGTCCAATATTAAAAAGGATGACATATGAAATGAGCTATTACAGTGGAAAAGGTGCTTTGCAAGAGTTTCATTCGGCATATATTCAGACACGAGCAACCTCTCGTCATCTTCACAGCAACAACCAAGTAAATTTGCCAATCTTTCGTTACGAAGCTGACCAACTGATCTAGCTTCCTCCTACATTCACCCAAATTTGTTCTCGTTAATCGAAAGTGAAAAGGCCAGAGTGAAAGAAAAACATACCGGCACAACTTTGTGCGCTAGCTAGCTTCAGAAAAATAACAAAACCTAACCATTTTACAGACTACTATGATTCCAACCGGTAACATATTTATCACCGATCAATGGCATTTCAAGCTCGACACTGTGTTATGTGTAGCGCAAGTCCGTGAACAAGAGAATTCAAAGTTTAAGAGTATTTTCAAAGACATCATTAAAAAGAAAAAAGATAACGTTTACCAAAAACTGCCGAGCATCAGGCCAAGCACTTTTATTAAACCTCTTAACAACAATCCTTGTCTGATTCTCCATCTTCCCTTTATAAACAACGTTTGGAGCCTTTTCACCATGTTCAGAAACTATATTCTCAACATTAAAACCAGACGTTGCATTATTAAGTTGCTCGAACGTAAATTCACGAAACGCAGGCCCGTTATTAGTCTCAATTCTATCCTCATTTTCTGTAACAAACATCACAATAAACATAGAATCAAGTATTAATGACAGTTTACTCAGCAAAACAGAATGTCTACAGTATCAATCAGTGTATCACTTTTACCTACCATCAGTCGGAACTTCAAGATCAGATGTTTTAACTTGTGAATTCACACAACATGGTACCAAGCTAGAGCACTGAACCCCCATTTTGATACACTTAAATCAAATTTAAAGTAATAACAACCTCTTCCACTTTTAATGATGTGGTTTTCGTAATACCGAATCCGAATACAGCATTCACTCCATTCGGCTACACTTGGACTCTATCAAACCCTATGATATTGGACTCTACCAAAGCTCGTATAACCGAGTAATACGTTGCAGCCACAAATACCTATAAATCATATCAGAAAGCTTAGTTAAATGCAAGTAAAAGGAAAACCAGCAAGAAAAGTTCTTATGGTAGTCCACTTTCGGGTATTAATTTAAAGAATTGGTCCATACTATAAAGCACTGACACATAAACCAGACACAACACTGACACTGATATTTCAACACATAATAATTTGAGAAAATAGCGTTGGACACGCATCAGACACAAGGACACGCTTTCAATGTGAAGTGTCTGTGCTACATAGCCTCGATCATTGGCAAACAGCTAAACTAGAATCATCTATACATTATGTACGAAATTTTCAGGTGGCAGAAGCACAGAGAGGAGAAACATCAATAATACAAAAATATAAAACTACTTCATTTAAGAAAAAGGAAAATAACATCCTTTTTTCCTTTCTGGGATTGGTGATGATCTCACACTCTTACAATCACAATAACCACAATTCAGATAATCTTAAATGTCACAACCTAACATCTAGTAATAATCCTAGCATTTAAAGCACCCTCTCCCCCAAAAATAAAACATAAATGAACATTTAACTACATTTCACCAAAGTGTGACAAAATCACAAACACAAAAAATCCCAAATATTTATAACTTCTTATTTTTAGTCAACTCAATGTATTTAGCTACTAAATATTTAACTTTTCAAAACTAAACAATGAATAAAGCACCACTTTTTGAACCATCATAAAAAGCTTCTTCACCTTTTTAAGCTTCTTCTTCTTCTCCTATAGCTGAGGAGTAAAAGTTGATACACCTGAACCTAATAAAAAAAGTCATTTTTTCATCTTTTCTCGATTAAATCAACAGCTTTACAAGATCCACATTTTCGCCATAGAAAAAAAATAAAAACAAGTTTATCAATATGCAAAGTTCGAGTTTTTAGCTCGATTCAATCAAACCCCAGTTAAAATTTTCCTTTTTTTTCAGAAAGCAACAATTCTTCAACCCAGATGAAGAAAAATATTAAAAATCCAATTTTTTTTATTTGAACAAAATCAGTTTAGAAGAAAGAAATGAAACTGAGATGAATTGAAGATTTGTATTAAAAAGCAGTGATGAATGAATGAGATAGGGATGATGGGGCTAAGCCTAACTAAGCTTATGAATTGTATTTTATTGACCTTTCCATTATGGAATAAAATATATAATTAATTAATAAATAAATTTGTAACTAAATACTAAAAAAATTATTTTATTTTATTAAAATATATTTATCATATATGGATATATTTATTTTTATTATAAATTATAAATCAAAAAATATTAAATTGAAAATGATAAAAATAGTATTATTTAAAAAATATAAGTAAAGTTTATTTTAGAACAAACTTCTTCAACAAATATATCAAATATTTAGAAATAGATGGAACTCAGGATAAATTAAAGTGTGTATAAAAATATCTAGAAAAAATTGAAATTATTGGATAACAACACATCATGCACTAACTTTATATTATTTTCTCTATTATTACCTGTTTGATTTTATCGTTTATAAATGTATTTCGACGAAAAACATCCAGATTAATTATGTGTGGTGTAGCAGTGTTGATCTTCTATATGATAGAGTGTATGTGTGTTTGTAAGATAAACACTTTAACGCTTGTGTCAGTATGGTCAGAGAGATAAAATTTTGCAAGAGTGAATGAAAAAAATACTTTTAATGGCACATAAACGAGTTTATATATGATGGACGGTTAAAATTGTTTCTGCTTGAAGTGACACGAAACACATGAGACCATTGTATTGGATCCAACTGTTGTAGCTCAAATCTTATGTGCGACCTTCTGGTAATGGCTCATATATCCACCGAGGATATTTTGAATTGGGCATTTAGTGTTGGGTCAATCTTGTTGGGCCAACCCGTAACAACTACCCCCAAGTCCTTGTTATCTTGTATGAAGCTAGAATTTGATGGAGGCTTTGAGAGCGGCCTCAAGACCACACTTATTCGCCGTCTAGAAATACATATACGGGTCCCTATCTTGGAGACAAGGTCGAAGACTTGCTGTGTGAGAGTAGGTGACCACGGGAAACACACATTAAATATTTGTCTTGTAATTGAAATGTTTTGCAGTGTTGATTCTCAATGTGGCCTATGCTCTTGGAGATATAGATTGTGTCTTTAGGACACTTGAGTGTTGTGACATGATTGAGGTCATATCTTGACTATTGCTTGTGCTCGTGTGCTATCTTCGATTTCTAGTTGTAGGTTGAGGGGTTCCTCGTGCGCTATCCGCAAAAGGAAAAAACTGATCCTCTTTTCATTTTTCTCGTTTGTCAAACTCTTAATTTTTCCTCCTAACTATTGTACTCAACCTGTCGTGTCATTGTTCTCCTTTTTCTTAGTCTTTCCTTCTTTACTCCAACGACATTCTAAGAGTTTAGGTGATTTGACCTCTTCAAATAGGAGACATTTTGGATTCCTCAAGTTAATAATCTTGACTCTCTTTATACTACTTTGTTTTTCCTTCATTAGAATTCTTTGTGTAGATATCATGGAAGCCCTGAAATTCGATGTTGTTGTTCAAGATGGGGGTACTTATGGTGCCATTGAGCTTAAAGTTGCTAAGGGATTTTTCTTTCGCAATTTTTCCTTTAACTACCTAGAGCATGTGGGTGACTTCAAATGAGAGCAGAAGGCTCAAACTTATATTAGGGCTCACCAATGTGTTTTTCGTTGCAATCTAATTGATAATGAAGTTACATGGTGGATAGAATCGCAATCACACAATTACATTAATAGTTGTTCATTTTTATCTTTTGGTAGTGAAATGGAAATGGATTGAAGTAACTAGAAAAGTGGCAAGGTGTCTAAAGGTGAAGATCGACTGTTATGAATGGACCAATGAGAGTTAGACATGATTTCCATCTTCGTCGACAAAGAAGGTTTAGACAACACTTTCACCGAGGTGGGTCATTCCTCTAATTGGGGAGTACTTCCTCTGAAGGGTGATAAGAGGTTGTGCAATAAATATAAGGGGTGTTTTTTCACTTCCATTAATGTTTATTCTCTAAGATAAGGTTTTGACTTCCCTTTAACGTCTTGGAGGTGGGGGTCCTCAAATATATGGGAATTTCCTCTTCGCAACTGCATCTTGTGAGTCGGGCTTACGTCAAAGTATTTTAATACGGTTGTGAATATAAGAAGAGGGTGTCAACTCTGATGCTTTTTGTCATCTTTTCAACATTCAACATACCTCAATTGATTTAGAATGAGGACAAGGTTTGTTCTCCTTTAGACAAGGTAGAAAGATGTTTGAAGTATAAATTGAAAGCCTGGAAAACCTCAAGGGTAGATAATATTTGGTCAAAATTCTTACTAATACTACTCATGAGAGCATTTGTGAGATTTAACCTGATGTTCCCTCAAGGTGTACTTACAAATTCCCTAACTTTTGGCGCCAAAATCATTTCATGGTACGCCTGGGGACATGCATTTATCCTCCGAGTGATTTAACCAAAAAGGAAAAGTATTTGAAGAATAGGCTTGTGACTTTCTAGTAAGACATATGCTTTATTAATGGTGACGAACCCTCTAGTGTCGTGTTTAGGAAGCGAAAATGTAGTATATTGAGACTCGTATGCTAGTGGAGGGAGCCACAAAATAGAAGAGGTGTAACATCTTAGGTAGGAATGATAGATTTCCCTATTCGTGTAATCATTATGTATTGTGTGATCTTATTAATTTCATTTCCCTCTACTTGAAGATTAGATAGCTTACCTCATGATAATGCTCCAGTTGAGTAGAATGTCGAGAAATATACCTTTGTCATCTGATGTAACAGCTGCACCGACTTCAAAGGAGGATCCTCGTAATGGTCGCCTTACTAATATGACCACTTCATATCTTCCTCGTATTAAGCGGTATGAGGTACAAGGTTCCCCCATGTCTAGAGGTAATCAAGCCTAAATACAAGGATCTTCCTATCGGTAGGTGGATAAGAAATTTCGTAGGTTATCGTCGAGAATGGTTGATGAAGTTTCACGAACTAGGGGGCGTTAATGGTGATTCATCTACTAGTGAGCCCGTCTTTGGGAGACCTCAAGAAGGGGGTGGATTCAAGAAAGTTTTATCATGAGAATAGTCTGTTACCGACCCAGAAAAGTTGTCTCCATCATTTCTTGCTCGTCTTGGTCCAAGAATGACTAGAGAGATCTAACCCTATGTTTTTCTGAAGAATAATTTGGATACTTCATAAGTAAGACCATAACAATCCGCCAAAAAGAGATGAAAGAAATGTAATATATGATGTGCAATGGTGTTATTGTATTTTATTTTGGGGCCGCTAGGAATGGGGAGGTTTAGGTGCCAGGGTGTATTCAAAAGGATAAATAAAGGCTTGATCAACGTCATATTTTGCTTGTTATTGAAAGAGATTGGCTTCTTCGTGAACTTGCTGGGTCGGCTAATCTCTTGAGGGAAATAGGTGGTAAGGTGTGAAATTTTGGGTACCTCTTTTTGTTAACTAAGAAGCTAAAGACAATTACTCTATGAATAATGGAGAAGGGTATGGCCTTGGATCAATACCTCCATATTCAAGGTTTTGGTGTCCTTGATCGAGTGACTTCTCATAACTAGGGTTTGATTGATTCATACACTCATGATGTTTATGACAACACCTCTTTATCGTCTTTGATTTAAACTTTGCACAAGTCAAAAATGGACATGCATTTCATATGACAATAAAGCAAAGTGTTTTGTTGAATAACTCATTTATTTTATTTAAAGTGAAAGAAGTACATTATATGATTTTAAATTAATGGTAAAAACATGTAACAAAATCAACCTAGGTACCGCTTTATT